TTGGCATACTACTACCATGCTTGACTTCCTACTTCTCTATGCAGAAAACTCATTTTAACTATAACAGGTTACAGCCCTGATGACCCTGGAATATTAGGCCTTGCCTTATTTAGGTTTTCTATATCTACTCCCTGCTTGGACATTATTTCATAACTCAACGTTTTACTTTTTCATCAAGCACCTAAGAATGCTGGATCCAACTTGTGCTTTTATGACTGAAGGCACTTTTTCAAAGAGAAGGTGTACTTCTGTTGTAGTATTTGTCGCCTCAGATTAAATTCAGTTTTGGAATGTGTGCAGAAGATTTTATTGCAGCATCTATGAGACTACCTTGAAACTGGGGCTCTGCTACACCAAATGTTACCAGTGCACTATAAGCAGGAGCCTTAGATGTGGTGCTGGAAGCCACCAGTTTCCAGCTGTTGCCTTCCACTGGTATTCCACTTGTGGTTCTGGTAGTGACAGACTGTCCCGGTCTGCATCATGATGGGGGTCCAGGGCTCTAGAAGTGTAGGGTCTGAGGAGATCCTGTCTCTCCCTGAGCTGCACAAGTTGCTGACTTCCGTAACTCCTCTGCTTAGCAACACAGCACCTGCAGGTAAGGTCCAGGAGAGGCCTCAGGTACTCCCTCTGATCCAACAAGCTCTGACACAGGCCTCTCCCTAGCACCAACTAAAGGGTGGGAGCATCACCCTCTCCCCCAAGCCAGGGGCAGCTGCAACAAAGGCTCTGGGGTACCCTGCGTCAAGGGCTCCTGACCACACCCGCTAGAAGCTGCCAGAGCTGCCCCAGGCTCACAACCCTGGCAGCAGCAGGTACCCTAAAATTTCTTGGAGGGTTTCCAGACTCCCTTCTACCACGTTCTAAGGGCCTCATTTCAAGTACAGGCAGCCATCACCCCTCCTGGTAGTTCAGACCTTCTTCACTGTTGCATTCCCGGATTTTCAGCTCTTTGCTTACTTGTATTGGCTTTTCCTGATACTGTCTGTGATTGTATTTCCATACTGCAATTTGAACTATTGCTTTGTATTAAGGATTAAGCAATAAGCATGGAAAAAGTAGCAGCTGTTTGGCCTAAAGAAAAACATAAGATGAGCACTACAACCAGTATTTTAGACTACATACCCCACCCAGGATTTTGTGCCTGTCAAAAGTAAGTTGCAATTATGGATAAATATTATTGAGCTGTGAAAGATTCAGTTAACATGTAGCTTGTAATGGCTGATATTTTCAGCCCCTCATATTTATATGAATACCTGATTAAAAGTTTTAGAGAGGCAGTAAGAGCATGCAAGAGAACATGTGACTGTGCTAGCAAGGTTCCTGAGATGGCCAAGAACAATTCTCCTTAAAAGGTCATCTTGCTGAAATGACAAGCTTTTCTGCATGTCCTGAACCTCAGAGCAGTGGGAATTAAATTTGTGATCACAGGAGTCTATAACATCTATTTTTGCAGCTGCATAACACAGAGGGAAATATGGCTCTGCACTGCATCCATTTCATGAGGCATGGTTGGACACTACAAATGGCTGAACTGTTTATGCTTCGGGATTGTCCAAATTAATGAAAAAAACCTGTGGCAGAATATTCACTCTTGTTTGCCAGACATGAAAATACCACTCTGAACAAACTTTTCAAGGACTTCTTAATAGAGAAACTGGTAGCAGATGAACCAGATGCTCTGCAGAGAAATTTTCATTTAACTGCTAATGTTGATGATTTGTGGAAGAAACTCTGGAGAAAGAAAAAAATACAACCAGCCAACAAAAAGGGGAAAAAGCTTTCTACTGAATTATAAGTATGCACTGGCAAAATAGAGGATTCGAAAGTATTGTGCCAAGGCTCCTAACATCAGCATTTTAGCATATTTGATTCGTTTTTGTCTGGAAAAACTTCCACTCACAGTAGAATAATCAACAACTGGTTTTGAATATGGAAAAGGTATTTTTGCTGAGAATGTTGCTGCCAAAAACTACTTCAGTTGAAAGCCATGGTTTTGCTGCAGAGAAACTGAGGTTTACTAATAAATATTGAAATAGATTGTAACAGCTGGTTAGCTGACATAATACTAAGTCCTGAGAAAAATGCAATAATTATGTAAAATTGTCTCATTTGCTAACTGTAATGAAAAGTGACTGATGAGGTTGGAGTTGATGCATGCAAGGGTTAGAAACCATGCTGAAAAGCCTCCAAACAGATAAAACCTCTGAATAATTTTTTTTTCTGCTGCATTTTAATTTTAAAAGCTATAAAAATACACGGAGTGATTTTCTGGCTCTGCAGTAAGCAATGTGTGGTGTTCTTTTAATTGTAGATTGTAATTAATCTATTATAGAGTTAATCATGATGTGCTTATATTTTAAGACATCTTAAGACACCAAAAATTTTTTTCAGCCATAGTACTTACTGAACTCAAATCATGCCTATTTTATGCCACTTTCAAATAGAAATTGTAAATAAAGCATTAGAGTTTATCTTCACAGAGTTTTATACTCAGGTATGTTTTCAAATTTCACAATTATAAAGGTTCTACTGTATTTTTATGCTACGAAGCAAACTTTTTGTCCTGCTCTTGCAAACACTGGCTGGGAAGGAGAGGAGGTTCTTCCAAGTGAATTCTAGAATTTTCTATTCAACTCCTTTTAATAATCTTGTTCAGATAAGGTTTTTTGAGGTTTAAAAACATCTTCCCCTTATGTAGAATAACATGCTGCATCTCCTAGCAGGATAAGCTCATACCAAAGAAAAAAGATGCTTTCTTCCCTCCAGAAATAGTGGGCACCTATCCGAACAGTTGCAATGGCATGTCCTGCCAGAAAAACATCAAGTATGAGATTTCTCAGCAGACACTCAACTTAATTGAAAAAAAAATAAATTAAAAGCTGAATTTTTACATCATCTTTTCCTTTCCCTACACATACATATTCACAGATTCTAATTTTAAAAATATATCAAAAACTTGCAGTTTATCTACTGATATGTAGACTTTCATACAGCTTAAAACAGGATTTTCTGAAAAATTAAATGCTTCTATAAGTAGTGTTATCTGGAAAACAGATATTAGATTTTATAAATGACTGAAGAAATGCTGCACTGAAACAATAATTGGATGCAGAAGATTCTCAAATTTTACCCACTTTAGTGCATTTTTCCAGTCTCCAAATGGTAGTGATGTTCTTCCTCTGTTAATGTGTGCTTGGAGATTCAGAGATAAAAATACTGTCTCAGGTTGACAGCTGAGTCTCTCATTTTACTTTGAGGTAAGTTTAAAAATAATTGTAAGTTGAGAAAAGCTACTCCATTTTTGAATTAAGCAATTTTATGGGGAGAAGAATTTAATTGTAAAACTCAAATACCTGCTAATACAACTCTTCTAACAGATACTGCTAAGCTCAACATAACAATACTAATATTTTTTTCATGTGTTTGCCGTAAAACAGATAAAAAGCAGATGTAGAAATCTCACAGTTTACCAATGCCAGTTTGTACTGCTGACTGCCATCAGAGGCAGGAGGTTTGAAAGGATTTCAGCTACCTACATTGACTATGTATAGTTCATCTGTTAATCTCAATATAAGGAGGATTTTAAGATTTCTAGATCAACTGTCATTTGGGGAAAATAGTTACGCCATGAGGAAAAATTATCTGGGAAAAATATTTTTATAATTTTTTCTAGGTATATAAATTTGGTCTTATATTTTGTGAAAAATAGTTCTTTTAAAATACATTTTATATAATTTTTGAGCTGTGGTGGATTGGGGATTACTTTGCAGCATTAAGAGTTCTTTTTCTGTAAGATATTTTCTCAGTTCTACCCAAAAATTATACTAAGGTGTATACAAAACGGATAGCAGCTACCTAATAAATCTGAATGGTATAACAATGGAAAGGGGGTGAAAGCAACTTCTAGCATTTGGGAAGTGCTGTAGATCTGCTGGAGTTTAGAATAAAAGCTGTTGCCTGTGAAATGCTACGAAGTTAACGTTTTCCAGTTTGTCTGTATTTGAAAGTTAGTTCAAGTTTAAACTGAGGTGTGAGTCTGAATTGCATTAGATATTTCAAAAATCCTACTTTCACATGCAGTTTTATTGTAGAAAAAAATGTGTTGAAATAACTATAGGTAAAACACATACTCTTGATTTCAGATTTCATGTTAACTGTCTGCTCTGGCTACTAATAATTCATACTATCAGAACTGAGAATTTGGCCATGAGTAGAACTTGGCAAGCATCTGTGCATGAAATTACACATGGAGTAAAATTCTTGACTGATTATGAGAGGCAGAAGAATATCCCAACCTGGAACACGTGTTTGGGCAAAACTGAAGAAAATAGGAGTAGTATCAGCAGTCAGTCTACTGTGAGTAGTAGGAGGAGACTGGCATTTGAAGATTATTCTTCTTGATTAATTCACAAGAGAAGGAACATTCATGTTGTCAAAGAAATACTCGTTTCCTGTGTCCTGCATCACTAATCTATGCAAAATATTGGAATTTTGGTTGTATGATGGGGCAGGTGGTGTAAAGTTACTGTGTATGGAAGTAAAACTTACATAGCACAGGCTATACAAATATATTGGCTTTTAGTGGCATTCTCATACTGCTTCTGAAAGAGCAAAGAAAAATGTTTTATGGGATGCCATGGGACAAAGTCACAAAAGCCTTGCTAAAGTCAAGGTAAACAGTACCAGCTGCTCTACCCTCATGTGTGGAGCCAGTCATTTCACTGCAGAAGGCTACCAGCAGGTAGCACATTTTTCTCTTTGTAAATCCATCCTCACAACTCCTGGTCTCCTTCTTTAACATGTTTGAAAATGGCTGGCTGGAGGATTTGCTCCATCACTTTCCCAGGGATTGAAGTGCCTGGCCTGTAGTTTTACCAGTGCTCCTTCTTGCCCATCTGGAATCTAGACGTGATGTTCACCTCCCCAAACACTATGACCTTTCAAAGATAATTAGTGGTGGTCTCACAGTAACATTCACTGGATTTTTCAACACTCACAGGAACATCCCATCAGGTCCAGCAGTTTTCCATGTGAACAATTCCTTTAACCTGATTCTGCTTCGCCATGGGGACCTCTTCCTTGCTTCAGACTTTCTCAGTATAAGTGGTAGAGGCTAGAAAAGATTGAAGTTTTGTCAAACCTCTAAAAGGGGGGACTGATGCCTATGGATTTTTGGATTTTTAGCTTTTTGTAGATTTTAGAAGTAGCTGTATTATATCCCTCAGCCTTTAGCACAGTAGTTTACACGTTTTCCCAATACTTTTACCCCATTCCATATCACTCGCTCAAAATTCCATTAGCTTGTTTAGACTTCCCTCAAGATAGGCCTTCATTCTGTTTAAGAACGTCTGCACACTGGCCTGGACAACAAGATATCACACAGGCAGAGCAACCTTCAAACCCAGGAGTTCGGAGGGACTCCAAGGACTGTATGTGCTGTGATGAAGAGGAGGTTGAGGAAAAGGGGGTCCAGAGCCCCCTGCCTCAATTTCTAGAGGGGTGTGCCGGGGGGAGGACAAATCTGGGATTGGATGGGTTAACACCTTAAATTGTGGAACCCCCTGGACACAAGAGGCCCGTCAATATGTATTCCTGTGGGCCTCAGGCCTGGAATTAAAGGACCTACTCTCTTTATCTTATACACTAAGTTGGCTCGGAGTCCTGTTTTCTGCGGTCTCTTAAGGCAACAAAATCCAAGGACTTTGGATTTCCACAGGCAAACTTTATCCATACTGCAGGATTAGTTAAATCTGAAGTTAAATTTTACTTCTCATAAATTACTTAAAACTTAGAACTGTTTTATTTTTATCAAATAACTGTTAGCTCTTTTTGAAATCTTTAAGGTTCCATTTAAAGAAGGCTAAAGAAAGCTTTCTAATGCTTATGTCTTTATTTTACCTCCTGTGATTTCCATTCTCTACCCATGGAAGTGCAGCAAGTTCCACACAGGTGTCTACCTCTATCAGACCACCGTCTGCTCTAAAGGTGACTTCTTGTAAGGAAAAAGACTTTTCTCATGATCATCTAAAACAGCTTTTACTGTAACTTCCTTCTAAATTGCCAATATTTTTCTACTGGTACTTGCAATTAACATTTCCTAGTAAATGCTTTTTAATCCTGGTGGGAAAATCATTAAATACTTAGACAAAAGGTTAGTAGTTGCTCTTATTTAAAGACTTCACCATTTTACATTTGGGGACTGCCAAATAGAAAATTTAAACAGTGTTTTGCTTGTTTTGCTTTCAAAAAGCAGACCAAGAGCTCAGAATTTCATATGTAGTATTAAGGGCTTTACCTGAAGGACGGTATCCCAGACAGTTCTGACATCACAGAGCTTTTCTTTGTGAATTTTAGAGCTAGTTGTTTCGGTACCCTTTACTGAGAGATGCAAAGAGAAAGCATAACAATATTCAAAGCAGTAGTTGCTTCTCTACCTCTGCTAACCATCTTTAAAAGAGGTGAGTTAGTGAAAACGTAAGAAAACTATACAAAATAATCATATCAGAGTTTGACTTTGCACAATATATAACAAAAGATCTGGAATTCTCCAGTTAAACGTCTCTCAACTTGGGCTAATTAGAAGCTACCAGAATGGCCAAAAGGATTTAACTTAGATTTTAAATCTTTTACTGTTTGAATATGGATTTAATTTAGAAGAAGAATATGAGTGCACCAATTATCATTTTGAAATAAGTCCTACCTTAAATATATTCACAGGCATTTTTACATAAAACAAATCTCTGAATAAAGGAAGCAATACCCAGACTTATCTATGGACATTCTGTAACAACAGACCTACTTGCTCAGGGAAGTATCACAAATTTGCAGTATTTTTTCAGCCCAGATAACCTCAAAAACACTTCAGTCCCTTCTCAGTTCAGGTTCGGGTTTTGGAAAGGCTTACAAACTGCCTGAAACCTTAAACTTTTCAGTGCCAAGATGCACAGCTCTGTACCATGTAGGAAAGATAACAGTTTGATCCTTCATAGTGCTCACAGACACACGAAGTGCTCAGTCTCATTTTCTCCAGCCAATTTAATTTTTCATGAGAACTTCCAACTACAACTCCAGGTAAAGTCAATTTAGGTGGGATAGATTTGCAGTCAAGATATAACAGAAGCATTAGCAACCCATCTATTACAACCCGTTCCTGTTTAGACACAGGGTGTTTCAAGGTTTTATTCCCTAGGGGGATTAAACTCTTTCATTGAACTTGGCCACCAAAAGAGCATTTAAATGGGAAATTGGCCCGGGCGGTGGTCATAGCGCCCCTAGCCGCTAGCAGGCACTCCCTGAGAGGCCCGCGATAGCCACGGGGTCTCCGGCACCGCCCCTGGCCCGGCGCGCAGCGGCCGCCGTGCGCGCGCAAGAGCTCGCGGGAGGGGCGGCCTCTCGCAGCCCGCGCCCCTTCCTGGGCGGGGCCTGCGGCCCGCGCCGGCCCCGCCCTGCCCACCGTGGCCCAGCCGGCTCCGTGGGAAGCGGCTCCACGGGAAAAGCGGCTCCTCGGGAAGCAAGGGCTCTTCCCGCCCCGTGCGAGCCGGAGGCCCCGCCTGCAGGGGCCGCCCTCCGCCCGGGGCGCTCCTCCGGAAGCAGCCGAGTGTGCTTCTAGAGGGCCCGCCCGCACGCGGGGCCGCTCCGGCCGACGGCGCGCGCCCCTCTCGGTGGGCGGGTCCCGCCCCCGGGTGCGCGCGGAGCGGCCAGGGAAGCGCCGCCATGATGAACAGCGGCGGGATCGGGGTCCCGCTGGGCTTCCCTCTGGGCCCCACGTCCGTTATCCAGGTCACCAACCTCTCCTCGGCCGTGACCAGCGAGCAAATGCGGACGCTCTTCGGCTTCCTGGGAGATATAGAGGAGCTGCGCCTCTATCCCCCGGAGTAAGTGGGGCCCGCGCCGGCCTCCGCAGGGACGGAGACTCGGGAGGAGAAGGAGGCGTGGAGGGGCCAGGGGGCGGCGGGGAGGGCAGAAGACCCGGCCCGCCATCTTGAGTGCGGGCACTGGGCAGGTGTCACGTGCCCCCGTCTTTGTATGGCCGGACCGGCGGGGAAGGAGCTGCGCCCGCACTTAAGATGGCGGCGCCAGGCCTTTTCCCTTTTGGAAACCCACTTCACCTGGCACTCTTCTCCTCGCTCGGGCTGTGTGCAGGGCAGCTGGGCCAGGGAGCCCTCAGCCCGCCTCTGCCCGCCTGCTTGCCTTTCCCCTTTTTTTCCCCTTCTGTTAGAAGGGCTCTGCTCCGAGGTGGGGGTGGTCGAACAGAAGCCAGAATAGCTGAGGTTCCGCAGATGGACGGAACCTTCCCTGCCTTGTGCCCCGAGTTGCTCCGCATAAGATTTGTGCAGTCAGTTAATCATGGACGTCTCACCTTTCCCTAGATTGTAGAGGTTCGCGAGGGATGCGCTGAGGTGGGAGATGCTGGGGCTCGCAGTATAACAGTGTTGCTTCTTCCGAGTAGGTGGTAGTCAGCAGAAAAAGGGAGGAAAATAAATGGGTTTTTTTTAGGCAGCAGTTGTACTGGCAAGTGAATAACAGACATGCCCTTTCAAACTGTGTATTTTCTTACAAAAATTAAATAGCAGAAGGGAGAGGAAGTCATTTGCATCTACATACTTGAATTTTAATAAAAAGAAGATGTAAAGACTGACCCAATTTAGATTTACAAAGCTGAATAGCCAAAAAGTTGTTGTTTATCAATGCTCATCTAGCTACATTTTATCTGAGTATGTTTGAATGCCAGCCATTCAGAAAAATTAACTATTTAATATGTAAATAGTATGTAATATGCTTAAAGCAGCCTTATTGATTTTTAGACACTTTATTAGATATATGGTGGATTTTTATACAGTTTTCTAGGGCTTTGCCTTGGAGATGTTCCACAATTGATTCTTTATACTTTGGGCTTTCTCCTGACCAATTTTTTTTTGTTTTGTTACAGCTGTTGGTCTTATCTTTCACTAGGTTATATAAGAGATTTTAAGGCAAATAGGTACTTTTTTGACATTCATATATAAATAATATTTGTGCTGATGTGTACGGTTGTGCCAGAGTGCGTATATACACGTAAAATAATAAAATCCAGTACCATAGTAGGATTTAGCTTGGGAATGTCAGGGTTATGATGCTATAAAATTTGGTTCTTCATGATGAATTCAGTTTTCAGAGCCAGGATGTGGGATTGTAATTACATCTTTTACTCTTGGTTTTATTTACAGTTTTTATGCATAACTGTTAGAAATATAGATTTCCTTGCCTAATTGGTAGGGACGTTTGACCTGACTTTCAAATTAGTACCTTGAGAGAAAATTAATTATTTGCTCTAATGCCCTTTTTTTGTTTCAAAAAAAGAGGTGCCTCCTGTTAACTTTCTGAAAATATATTTGAATAACATTGTGATAAATTTAGGAAATAATGTTTCATTGACAAGTGGTTGGGAAGCAAAGCTGTCCCAAGCAAAAAGTTTTATTGATCCCTTTCGGTTTGCAGTACAGTTGAAATGTGAAGCTGGTTTGCAGTGTGTGACAGGTCTTTTGCCTTGAGTATGTTCTCCAGTATGCCAGCCACTCGAACAGCCTGGTGTTTTTTTTCAGCCTGCGAGGAGATCAGTGATGCCTGTAATCTGATTCCTAGTCCCACCTGTGCTTTTGTGATACATTTGTCACCCAGTTGAAGTCTGTGTTTCAGACTAGCCTTCAAAATCACATTTATAGGGATAAGCCTTCAAGTAAGAGGATTTTTCAACAGTTAAATGTTGAACAACTTTATTGAGCAACAGTTGGGTTTTTGCAGAATGAGTTATTTGAAAGCAGGGAGGTGCAAACTCTCTCCATTAGATGTGCAAAGTCCTGCTGTGAACGCTGTTTGCTTCTGCATAGTCTGAAGTGGACTTGGAAGCTAGAACACTCAAGTGTTTCCAAATAAACTTTTGTTTTAACCAAAAGTTGGACAACGGGCTAGTTGGTTGTAACCCTTCCCTAGTCAAGCGCAAGACTGGATTGGCCTCTGTGTTCTGCCACCAGGAAGCTTCGCTCTGGTTGCAACCCAGCAGGTGTTGAGAGGTGGAGACACATGTTGTACCAGACCTTGGTGATAGGCTTTGGGGCCTCTTCTAGTTCAGAGCCTAATGGTGTTCTCTGTTCATGAATCCTAGTAGCTTAGCAAAGCCTGGTGTAGCTTTGAGGGGTGCCACCAGACTGAGTCACTCTCACTTGTGCCTTACAGGTGGATAGGCCATCTTCACTTAACTCAGGAAAGGGACATAGATTTGTCACCTGTATGGTCCGATCAGTAGACATTGTTAACTCATGCAGGTAACAATGAAGTTACCTCAAAGATGAGGCCTTTGAGGCAAAACACACACACCTTCTGCATAATTATTCCATAACATTCTGTTTTAATAAGTCATTAATTTCTGTTGTCTCCTCCACACACCATCCACCCTGGAGAAAATTCGGACAGTTTTATAGCCTTTTCTTTGATTTTTTTTTTTTTTTACTGTAGCTTTCTGAACAGGTCATTCTTAGGAAATATTTCAGTTGATTGTTGTTGGGAGATGGAATGTTGCTATCTCCCTACAAAGGAAAAGAAAAATGTCAGAAATGTCTGAGTACTATTTAGATATTTATTTCCTTTTTGAGTTTTTTTTTGCTTTCCTGAAGAAACTGGATTTTAGTAACATTCAGTCAGAGATGTAGAAATTGCTTTTTGGCATCAATGCTGCTTAACCCTAGGAAGAAGACTGTGACTCTCCTTAAGTTCAGCCTCAGAAGAGGTTAGCAGAAAAAAGGCAACAAAAGGAATTAAAACAGAATAGGACTTTTCTGTTTTAGGAAAGACTTCTTAAGAAGTCTGCTGGGAAGATTTCAGAGGCTCACTTCCTAAAAGGGACTCAATCACTGTGAAACCTTCTAGAGTTTTAGTTCTTTTGGATCTTAATAGTTTTCCCCTGATGTAGATGCATCATTAATATGTTTTTAGCAGAGATGGTCTCCTTATAGAGAATTTCTCCTTCTTGACCTTCAGAAAAGACTTGGTACCAAGACTTGTTTGTAGAGCCTCATTTGCAGTAGTGTTTGGATATTAATTTTTTTTAATATAGTTTGCAGATAGCTTTTGTGATTTAAATCGAAGTGAAACAGGAGGGCGAGTGTTACAAAAAACACACTTTTCAGAGCTGGCTCTGTGCATGTTGAAATTTATAAAGATTATTATTGGGCCTGAAACTGCCTGGAGCAGAATTATGTTCTTGAGTTGGCAATGAAAACAAAAATGTAGAAGAACCTGGGAGACATCAGAAGTCTTAAGCTCTGCCAGGGGAGGTTTAGGTTGGATATTAGGAAGAAATTTTTTGCAGAGGGAGTAATCAGACATTGGAATGGGCTGCCCATGGAGGTGATGGATTCACCATCCCTGGAGGTTTTTAAGATGAGACTGGATGTGGCACTGAGTGCCATGGTCTAGTAACCGTGGCGGTGTTAGATCAGGGGTTGGACTTGATCTTGGGAGGTGTTTTCCAACCCAGTTGATTCTATGGTTTTTCAACAGTGTGGACCACAGAACCTTCAGTGAAGGCTTCAGCCATTTGACTTGTAACACTGACATGTGTATTTATGAAGAAACAAACAAACAGCAAACAATGACAACAGAAAAACCCAAAACACCCCCTCCAACACCCCCTCCTCCTGCCCACCTTGGGTTCCCCTCCCCTAGCAAACCAAACCAAATAAAATCTTGTGACCATTAAAAGTCTTTTTGGTCAACAAAGTTTCTGTTGAGTGCTAAAAAAGTCATAGCTGACTGTCGTTTCTGATGTTGGAAACTGATCTAACAAAGACCCTACAGCTGGCTCAGAAGCCTTTCTATGCAGTTTTTTCTTTCCTGAATGTGGAAACTTGAAACTGTGAAAACATTGCCCACTACAGACAAAGTGGGTAGAAGAAATGTGGTCATCTTGTAATATTTTTCTAAACTGTATGAGGCTTTCATGTTTGTCTCTCCCACGCCCTGTTTAGTTTTTCCTCCTCAGTGTCCATCATAAGTGTTTCTAAATGCAATTCTGAATTTGACCATCTCTTTAGATATTTTACCTAGGTGCTACTGTTCTGGTAACCAGAAACATACTGTCTGTGAAACATATAGTCTGCCTGCCTCTGAAGTTCCCGGTTTATTTTTTGCAATTAATATGACGAAATAATATGTCTAAAACTTTTAAATTTATATTTAAATATTGAAATCTAATTAATTTCATAGAATAACTTTGGAAGTACCTGCTTTGGAATTTGAGGGAACTGCAAAATGGGTTGAGTTAAACTTGAACTGCTGCTGGTACTTCCAGAAAGTTGACGAGTTTTTCAGTTTGGGTTGAGGCAGGACCATGGTGAAACAGTTTATGCAGTGCATTTTCCCTAAGTTTCTGCTTTACTAGAAGGCAAATGGTCTTTTCAAATGGAAATTGCTAATATTTCAGCAATATCCTGTTGCATTCTCTCTTTAAAAATGTCATCTGTACTTCCTTCATGTGAAGAAATAAGCTGCTCATATAAAGGTCACAAACCTTGACTAGGGAATCCATTTTTAAAGCAAACTTCTGTGGTTTTGATCAAGATTTCAATGTTTACATGTTCTCAGTTGGTATACTGCTTAATGGAAAAGCAAATTACAAATTTTCTTCTTTTCTTCCTTTTTGTAGCCAAATGATGAGTTGCTCCTCCCTCATCCAGTGTTACATTGGGCTACAATATGCCAAAGGCAGATGATAAAAAGGAATTTTGTTATATTAGTCAACTAAGACCCAGTATTTGAAAGAACTCTGAATAACTGCTTTTATTTTAATAAGAATTAATAAAACAGCTTTTATGAAAACCAAAGAAAAAATATTAGTTATTACAGGCTAGTATCTGAAGGACCCACTGAAAAATGGCAGGGTTTGTTGTTTGGCTTTCCTCAACAAGGTTTATTTGGAGAAAAAAAGATAAACTATAAATTATTTACTTGACAAATGCATCAAGTAAATATGCTACTTAAAACACTAAGTTGGAACTACTATTCAGTGTTGTGTGCCAAGATTATAAAAGAAAATTAGACTTTTTGGTTAGTGATTTTGGTTTCATAAATTTTCATAAAAAAGAAGGAGGTGCTACACTATGCTTCTTTCAGTGACATAGTAAGTAGGCAAATTAGTAGATTTCTATACTCTTAAGACTTAACTTTTCTAGGAAGTGTAAAACCTTTTTTTTCCTTAAGGAGTAATAGTTAAAAATACATACAAGCAATTATTTAATATGACTGATTGGGTTTTTTTCCTTTTATCTTGCAGCAACTCACCTAGTCTAAAACCTTTTTTATTAAGAAGTAATAGTTAAAAATATGTTCATGCAGTTTTTTAATATGAGTAATTGGGTTTTTTCATTTTATCTTGCAGCAACGCACCTCTTGCTTTTTCCTCCAAAGTATGTTATATTAAGTTTCGCGAAGCATCAAGTGTTGGTGTGGCCCAGCATCTAACTAACACGGTTTTTATTGACAGAGCTTTGATAGTTGTTCCCTGCGCAGAAGGTTGGTATTTTAGACATTCTTTTGTACTATTGGTCTTTGTTGTGTCTGTTCAGTGTTTTAAGCTTTCCATGTAAAAAGGTGGTGCTCTGTTGTTCTTTTGTTTTATTTTATTGCTTTTTGAGAGAAAAGTCTTGAATCAAAATTGAAAATGGAATGAGGAAACCCAGTGATACAGATTTAGTTGAAATTCAGCATTAGCAATAAGGTAGTTGATTTAAATTATAATTCGGTTTTCCATAATCATCACATATTTTGAGGGGAAAAAAAGTAGAATGATTCACTATGGTTTGTGTTGGCAAGGTTATTCTTACACAGAGTGCTCACTGAAGTCAATGGAGCTCTGAAAAGATCAGACAGTTTCCTGACACAGTAACATTGCAGTTTGAATCTTAATGTATCACCTTTGGTGTAGTGGATTTTTTGTTGACTTGTGATTTTTTTTTGCATTGTTTAAGAGTACATCCCAATTTTCTCTTGTAGACGTGCAGTATATGGATTTGGCCATTTTAGAGTCATCTAAACTAAAATATTTAGCATTCATGGTGATAGTTACTTTGGAATAGAAATGTTTACCTGTTAGCTTTATTTTTTAAAAGGAATTTTTCTTTTATGTTACTGTTGAAAATGTTACTTTATGTGTCATAAAGCTTTTCTTATCTATAGCAATACTTCTCTTTGGTTTTAGATATCTCCTTAAATAAGCAGTGATCTGTACAGAATGCTTCCATCATAAAATGCTTTTAAAAACTCTTAAAAAACCAAAATGCTTGATGAATACTAAATTGGCAAATGTTCCTTTGCCTAGCTGTGAGGCCACACTTTTATGGATATATTGAATACAAGACAGCTTGTATTGTTAGTATAGTATCCTAGATCTGAATACAGTTACCTGAAGCGTGGTCCTAAGGTAGGCGTTTTTGCTGGAGTTAGGCAGAGCCCCATTGACTTCATTGGGATCATTGTGTAACCGAGCATCTAACTGTTTAGCTCTGGCCCTTTTGCCTCTTTGGAGTGGAATCATTCCAGCTGATGGAGTGAACCTGACTTCACTTTCAACCTGGTAGCTTTGCCATGAACAATATGTATAGTGGTTGAACCATGAACTGCAGCAAGTCCAGAAATACCCCTTATACATCTCTAACTGCAAGAGTTCAAAAAAATACTGTTAACTTCCTAGAGTTTGTTAACGATGGTCCCAGAGTACTGTTTTTTGGCATGTTTGCCACATCGTGATCTAGATAGTGTGAGATAAGCGCTGCTGTAATAATCATCTGGGATTTTCTTAGCAAACTCTGCCAGGTCTTCAAAATTTCAGAAACCCTCTAAGTACTTTTCACTAAATGCCATATTGACCTACAACTGACCTGCCTGTTCTTGTAGCCTTCTTACTAGGGGCATATCGCACATTTGTCTTTGTAAAGCCTAGATTTTTAGTTGCTTCTGTGCCTTGTTTTGGGGCCTTTTTGGTTTCGTATTTTGAACTTGTTCTAAAACCACAAAGAGAATATGGCTGTATCCACTTGCAACTGTGTATAGGCTAAGGGGATCAGAGTCCCCAGTTGGAAAATTGCCCCTAAATACATTGACTAAGGTTTATTCAGGATCTTAGTTTTACATTTTGTCAAAAAGATGTTAATACTGATTCAGTACTTCCAGAGAGGGAAGATTGTTGCCTAATGAGTGAATACACCTCCTGGTGTTTTTCTTCTGATGAGATCACTGCCTGACATGATATGGCAACAGGCAGGTAAAGCTACATTTTTCCTGTCTGTTGGTGGTAGACAATGAGTGGAAGGAGAAAAAATTAAAGTTCTGACAAATCTTGTTCCGACTCTTATTTGTAGCTGACTTATTAGGTGTTTCTGAGAAACTGTATTAAAATGTCACTCTTCAAAATCATTCTAGACTCCACAGAAATGTATGTATAATTAGGTGAACAAGTGATTGGGTTTTGAGGTAACTTCTTTTTTTAATGTCAGAATGCTGTTATCATGTAACTTTTTATTATAAGCATTTATAAAAAGATGTGAATTATACAGATTTAACTTTCTGATTAATTTATTGTGTGGAATAAATATGGCTTTGGAGACCACAGCTCAAGGTTTTTGATTCAATATGTGTCATATGATGCATTGTTAATGGAGTCAGTGGAGTGGATCACGGGCTTTAAAAGTAGTGATGGCTTTATTCTGCCAGGAGGTAAAATTATGTAATTGTCCAACAGTGCCAGTAATAAAACATTTCATGCGCCAAGTTGAACATAAGAGAGAGGTGAAATGAACTCTGAAAACCCAGTTTTTTAAAAGAGAATAAAATCTGAAATTGGAATGTATTTAAACAGTGGTAAATCAAGGGTGTATGAGGAGGGAATCACTACAGAATGAAATCAGTCTTAATTATATGACATTTAGTATAACGATTTAACAAAAATGTAATTGTAAGTGAAGTAAGATTACTAAGATGTTAAAATATGACTTTTTTTGTGTGTGTATTGGTAGGTTTTTCTTTAAATATACTTTGAAAACGCAAAGGTTGAAAGCTAAACAAAGATGCCACCCTAATCATTCTAAATTTTATGTCCACATTATCTGGTAGATGGATTTTGACTATTAATTTGGTTTTGTATGTTTTCTCTGTGTGATATTTGTGCATTATTAGATGACTAGACTGGCCAAGGCAGACCTGTTACACTTGCCTGAGTTAGGCATTGTTTGCCATGCCACTAAACCTGCCGCCAAGTGAAACCTTCATGGGGGAAATGAGATCGAAGTCTGGCCTGCTGAAGATGGACGCCCTGTCTCTGTTTTTATTTTATTTTGATTTCTTTCCTTTGTTTCTTTTATTTTTATTTTATTTTGTCCCTTTTTTGTTTTGTTCTGTTAAATCTCTTTCCCTTGTACTTGTGAACTGGTACTTCAGTTCTGTAAAAATGATGTTTGTAAAGGGTTCACAGTGTTTGATCTTGAAGTTGACCTGAAGCTGCTTATGAATGGTGGATGGTATACAGAGAATTTAGAATATGATTCATCTTCAATGCTGTGAATTAAGGATAAATTTGATTTAGAATACATTTAAGCATCTAAATTCAACAGATGAGCACATCGTGTCAGAAGGCAGGAACAGTTTTGAGATACATTCTTTCATATGTTGTGTTTTATGAGTTCCTCTTGGAAAAGGACAGTTGAGACTCATGCTTCTGGAGAAACCAACTTTAGAAAGTAAAGTCATGATATTTCTCTGCTATTTTCCTCAGCAGAGTGTTTTATTTTAGGTTGCACTGTCTATTTAAAAGAAGGCTGATTATTTATGTCTAATGTGATGAGCTTAAAATAATTATTTCTGAAGCAACTTTTATGACTATTGAATGTCGTGAAATATTTGTTTACTTTCAATGAAACCTTGCTGCAGTGAGGTCAGTGACAGGAAGATTTCATCCTTTTCTTGTAATTTTCAGAAAAGACTGTTTACCACTCATAAGTACAAATGCAGCCTGGAATTTTGGTTGGAATGTGTTACGTGAGACACGTTGTCTTTAAACACTGTTATTTGTGAGAAGATTGAATCAGTTCTCTGTGTGTGTGCGCGTATGTGTGTATATACTTGCATTTTTGACATGCTGCAGTGGTAATTATTTGAAGAAGAGGTTTAAAAAAAGAAAAGTCAGAAAAAAAAGTGTTTTCTCCATCATCTCACAGTCTCAGAAGCCCTGGCAGTTCATGCTGGAGTGATTGAGATGGTTCTCAGCCCTAAATGATGTTTTCACTTCCTGTGAAATGGGAGCCCTGAAACAGAAGTGGTGAACAAGGTGCTGTGTCTAGTCTTCAGGCATTGCTCTTCCCAGCCAGCTGCATTGGGATCTGTTGGTTTCACTCTGAAAAGAGCTTTGCTTGATGATTTTTATTAGATTTGGCAGTTGAGGTAATTGCCAGTAGCTGTCATGTCTTTATTTGCTGCTGCTAAATCCACTAAGATTCATGAGCTGGATCACATGAAGTATTTTATTTGTAAGTGTACACGTTCCATTGATTTAAAATAGAAGGAAAATAAGTACTATTATGTTTAGAGTAGTTGTGAACAGTATTTTTAAAAAACAAACATTGCAGACGCATTTTTGGGGGTGAGGATTAACTGTGTAGTTTCACTACAAAAAGTGGGAAATTAATTTTTTCTGAGCACTTGAGGAATAAATACTGTGATTAGTACTTGTTTAATGCAGGTACTTCTATTCAGCCTTCATCAAAATGGGTTCTGGTATGGACTAGGCTTACTACGGCTCTTAAGACTTCGATGATACAAAAAAGTAGCAATCACAACTGTTTATAGGCAGTGGTGAGCTAATCTACATTTGCTTCCAGATTCCTTTGCAAAGTAAAGAATCAATAAATAATTGATCATAGAAATTGTAATTTACTAAGCAGAAGAGCTTCTAAGAAATGGGGTGTAGATGTGGCATATTTATATTGTCTGTTTCCCTCATTAGAAAGTAAATATCTTCACCTCATTTCCATTCAGGTTTTATATACCATGTTTTAAAAATGAAAGTGTTATTTTTAAACTAAATTATACTAATCTGTTGTGTCAAATCCCACATGTTTTATTGTATTTTTGTGAGCTTGTATTCCTTTTATAAATAAATTCACAGAGATAAAATGCCAAAATACTCATGAGGGTATTTGGTCTCACATATTAATTTGTTTTTTAAAACCATTTAAAAACCAGGGAAGTAGGTTTTTAAGACATTGCAGATTTTTATTTCTCCACAACAGTGTTCCATAGAATTTTGGCCTGGTCTTAAAAACTGGAAAAGATATTTGAAAAGACACTATCTTTGAATATCCAGGCAAATTTTTGGGTTGTGTCTGTAGAGATAGACCCTTTCTCTTTCTTGAAAACAAAATAAATAATCTTTTTTTGTGGTATTGAACTGATGGACTAGATTTTGTATTTTAAAACTTTACATTGTTAAAGACCAAAGTATTCTGGAAATAATGCTGCGAACTTTACAATTTACATATGCATGCTGTTCATTCTTTGAGCTGCTATAATGGTGAATGGAACTGAAATGTTCAGTGGATTCCTTTAAAAACACTTGAGCAAATTAGTAGTTCCAATTATTTCAATGCCATGATGCATATGCTTAAAGTTTAGGCTTCTGTTTAAGTCTTGACTCATTGTCCTTCTTAGTTATGTGCCTAACCCAATTCCTGTTTAAAAAGGCTAAGTGCCTAAGTGTATTGTAAGTTTACCTGATTAAGTGTGTGTTGAATTGGCTGTATGTAAGTGCATGCTTGAATTAGGCATATGCTTATGTACATTACTGACCAAGGATCTCAATTAGCATGCAGACACACCACTTTAGGAGCCACGTCTGCCATCGGATTTACTTGTGCAATATCTCTTGATCCGTAGAAAGCTGCACAAATTGCAAGATATTCACTGTTGAGGATAAATTCTGGTTCACTAGTCATTTGAAAGCACTTAAGTATTTAGTTTGTCAGCAGAATTGGTACATAATTCTGTGCCTAATTTGCATGCACAGCTGCTGGAACTATATATTCAAAAGCCTTTTACTAGGCAACATATTAGGCAGGGTATGCAGCAAAGTACATGATACTTTTGAGCAGTCAGGTACACCTCTCATTGCATGCCTGACTTCAAAATGAGATCTGTGAAGGGTGCTGAACATTGTGATGGTGGCTTAGATTCATGCATGTTTTTTAAAAAAAGCCCTGGAATTCATTATTGCACAGTTAATTCTTAAGTGCTAACAATTTTCCTATTTTTCTCCTTTAGATAGCAAAATCGAGTGGTTTCTTACATGTTAAGGAGGAAAGTGTCTCAAAATTTAACATAAATCAAATAAATGTAAATAGGAAGCATGAAATTAAATGGGTACTGTTACTTTATCTTTTCTGTTCTACCCATGCTACATACAAATTCAATTTCATTTAGATATTTTTTGTCCTTTGGTCATATCCAACTGTTACCCAGTCTTTCCTGCAGATCTGTAAAATAGGTTTGCAAAAGTTTTTTAATTTCATTTTTTAAAGTAGTATGTTTCCATGGGGTCAGTTGGAACTCATATAGCTAAAACTGCGTGGTGTTTTGAAACATACCTCATGTTTTGCTTTTTGATAAGAATATTTGTATTTTAATTTTGAATTTAGAGGTCTTGTAAGTTAAAACATACGTAGTTTGAATCAAAGCAGTAAAAGCCACTGGCACAGCTTTTGTATGTTCCTTGACCATTTAAACATTAGAACAATGTTTAAATAAGAGCATTTACTTTATTATGGTTCATGTGGTAATACCAAAGGGCTTAGCTGGTTAGCAAATGTACAGTTATGCCAGTAATGTTGAACAGATCATAGATACCTAGTATAGTTAGAACTTCTTTTGGTAGGTTTTTATTTTAGTGTTTAATGTTTGTACCAGTTTAAATCCCTTTGCATTTCAAATTTAAAATGTACATTTAATTGTAATCCTAATTGTTTGACTATTAAATCTTTTGATTTTTGGAGATTTTTGGGGTTCATTTAATAGTCTAATTGTGACTAACATTGAATGAAACCTGCATTTAATTCAGATTAGTTATTACTTAAACTTTTAGCATGGCGGTAGGATTATAATCAGGTTGAAAGAGCAGGGAATACATATTCTGGGAAAATAGAGCTTGCTTAGCTGATCAGTTATGATTTTCTTCAGTCTCAGTAAATTTAAAGTAAATTTATCAAAGTTTCCCGTAAACTGAGGTGACTTACAATGTGGGACAGTACAAATCTAAATTTTTTCAGCTCTTCCCTCCACCACGTTCAGGTTCACTTGTAGTATGTATTGTGTGCAGTCACTGTAGTTCAGTAGTTTTTTTATTTTATGTTTTACTTGTTTTTACATTCTAAGTAGGTAGCGCCAGAGGAATAAAGAAGAGCGCAAATTTCAGTTAGCACATACTTGTTTTTTTCTTTTTTTTGTTTTTCTTTCTTTTACTGATTTGGTTATTTGCCATTTCTGGGGATTAAACTTTAAAAAATGTTCTTCTTTTCTGTATCTGATGTTCTGTGTGCTATTAGTGATGCAGCCAACACGAACGGTTGTCATGTGTAAAACAACTTTCGATCACCGCGAAAACACCGCCCTGGGAAAGCGTCCATGCTTGATATCGTTTGGTTCATGAACGTTAAGTTTCCAGTACAGGTGACCCATAGCTCAAAGTGTTAAATAATTGTATACATTATTCAGTTTTTAAAATAATAATCCATTAATGAGATTGCTAGTCTTTGAAATTTTTCTCACTTTTGTTTTTCCTAGTAGAGCAGGGTAAAAGGAAAAACTTAAGTTCTTATTTGTTTCTTTGTAAGGATCTGGTAGATAGATTCATTGTTATTTATTACATTTTTAAATGCAAGGGTAATTGTAAAATCATAGAAAGAGTAACATCTGTCTAGTGTTCCAACTCTGTGTAATGTTTTCATTTGCTTCTTCAGGTAAAATCCCAGATGAAGCCAAAGCCCTCTCTCTATTGGCGCCTGCTCCTACTATGACAAGTCTGATGCCTGGTGCAGGGTTGCTTCCCATACCTACACCAACCCCTTTGACTACAGTAAGTAAAATTCAGTAGCTGTTTAATTTCTGGTTTCCTCTGTGCTCTAGCCTTTTCTGTGTGCAGAGAACAAGAACTGTCTGATCCATGGATTTTGCAGAGAGAGTTTAGCTTTGGTGCTAAAGGCTTGCTGAGGATTCATCAGGTGTCCATGCACAATGTTTCTGCGTTTTTCTTTCAGATTATTATTTTGCAAAACAGTGGGTAAGTATTGGTTTTGGTGGTTGTCCATTTTAATTGTTGTCCTGCCCTAGAGCCTTTTATTTGGTCAAGTGGAAGTGCTATCCACCTCCTAAAAATTATTAAAACCTAATAGTTACATTGACACCATTCTTCAGAATATTAAACTGCTGCAGTAGAGAGATTTTACTTGATCCCTCTACAGAAAGGTTTTTCACTGTTTGTCTAACAATGTTTTCACTACAAAAAGTAGCAGCTTGGTGCTGCTACTTCTGCTCAATTCCCTTTTGCCTCTGTAAGCCTTTCTTGACATCAGCAAGCTGCAGGGAAAATTTCAAGTTAAAATAGAGTAGTTTTTTCCTTTGTTACATAAAAAAAATTACTCATGACTAGTTAGAAAATTTGTTTATGGGAAAGGCAGTTGCTTTTTGGGTAGAGAAAATAAAATTCAAACCAGGAACTCAGTGGGCCAACTTTGTAGTGATTTTTAAGAGACTTTTTCTAATGTTTCCCAGGAGAGAGTTCAATGTCCAGTTCCAAACATGAGAGATATATTTTCCTCTAGGAGTGAGGGAAAGAACTTAGGCTGAATATCCTTTGCATTTCAGCTGTAATTAATCTTGACTTATGTAGTTTATTTGTCTAAAAGGTGCCTTATGTTTCCCTTTGATGGACTGATATCTGTCGGCACTGAGCATTGCAAATTACCTTCTATCCTTGCTGGGAAAGGTCTTGGCCGTTTCTCATCTAGTCCAAGTACTTGTTGTGTCAAAAAAATAAGAACATTAGCAGTATCTGAAGGTATCTTACTCAATCTAAGCATTAAAAATTGAAGCCTATATGTTTTGTGATTGATACACTACATATACACTGGTCCCTGTCCAGAGCTCTTTGATAAGATGTTAATTGATAACCTACAGCAAATCTTAACTATAGAAGGCTATTTATGGGTATATTTTTGTTCTGTAAAAAAACTTGCTGTACTGTGGCCTTAAAGTACTGCCTATTTTTATTAGATCTATTTATATACAAACGGTCAAGGCAGGCAAGTATTAAGAAGTGAATTGTCTCCCACTAGTGCATGGTTGGAAAGTATATTCTGTTTTTGTGTTTTTCAGCTTGGTGTTTCACTTGGCACTTTAGGGGCTATACCAGCAGCAGCCTTGGACCCTAACATTACAGCACTTGGAGAAATACCACAACCACCAATTATGGGAAATGTGGATCCATCCAAAATTGATGAAATCAGGAGAACAGTCTATGTTGGAAACTTAAATTCCCAGGTAGCTTTTGGGGTTTTTTGTGTTGTAGAAATACTAATGGAAGGTGTGAAATTGTAATTTATGAATTCTAATCTTAACGGTTAAAGATTTTACATCAGTAAACGGCAACATAAATTTAAACAAAACCTCCTAAATTTTGTTGCTTATTCATGATATTTTGAATGCTCCTGTGCCAATCAGATCAGACCAGACTCTGGAACTCATTCTGTCAGAGAAGTCACACTGTAGCTGAATTCAAGAAACACACTTAACAGTTGTGCATGCTGATCAAATGTCCAGTTGGGTTGTGTTAGGTTAGCAATGCCTCAGAAGTCATGAGATCATGGTAGCTGTCTCCCACAGCACTGTGAAGTTGCTTAGTAAGATGGAGTAAGATGGAGTGATGTGTCTTAGTGGAAGTTGAAAATTAGCATAAATACCTTTCAGTCATCAACTTGGTTTTTCAGCAGTTGATTGAATGAATTGAAAAATACTTACTTTTGACTGATAACAATTTAAGTATTACATTTTGTGGTTTTTTGACTGGTGAAGTAGCTACTGAGTGTAAAAGTACTACTGATCGTGATAAACTGAAAAATAATAGAAAGCCACATGAAGCTAAGTCTTTTAATATTCTTTGGATATTTTTTTAATTGATCAAAAGTCACAATCAGCTTGTAGACAGGTGTATAAGGAAATTCCTCATCAGTTATTTCAGATGAGTTGCCTGAAAAGTGCAAAATCCTGTGCAAATGTGGGTTTTTTAACCTAGACGAAGAACTAAGGGCTTGTGGCTGCACTACTTTAAATCACAGAGTATTCTTTAGATTCCATCATCATGGCTGGGCTTCGTGAACGAAGATTGGGAAGGACTCTACCCACATTTGCTACAAGCACGCTGGTGGCTAAAGAAGCCAATGCGAGATAGACAAGTCTGGTTGCAAAAGGCACAATAGAAAGACTCCTTGGATGGTATCGGCAAGACATGATTCTTTCTGTGTTGTCTTTTATCCTCGAGAGTGATCCTGCGTGTGTTCTCAAAGGAGGCAGCAGTGTTATGAACTGTGTGTCTCCAGACCTCCCGATCGGAGGCCAGAGTAGGCCAATTATGTTGATCAATATGGCCAAGGCTGAGATGTTGTTTCAGGGAGTCCTTGTATCTCCTCTTCGGGGCTCCTCTCTTGCGGCAGCCGGTGGCAAGTTCACCATAAAGCATGAATTCTTTAGATTAATGGAAGAAAAAATACCTGTCTTTTTTTTTCTTTTTACAGTGTAACATTACTAAATTCATGCCATCTGTGTAGTAATGGTGAGACATCATTCCAAAATCTGTAGCTCTTAGACTACTGGGTATATTCTATAAGTGGGTTTTGTTATATATTCTACTTTTTGACTCTTTTTAGACTACAACAGCAGATCAGCTGCTTGAATTCTTCAAGCAAGTTGGAGAAGTCAAATTTGTGCGAATGGCAGGTGATGAGACTCAGCCAACACGATTTGCTTTTGTGGAATTTGCTGACCAAAATTCTGTACCTCGAGCTCTTGCCTTTAATGGAGTTATGTTTGGAGACAGGCCACTGAAGTAAGAAATCAGTTATCCATATGACTACTGAATGAGAACTTTCTTTGTATCCTTGTATATACGTTTATGACTCTGATGTGTAGGAAAATGCTGATACTAGTTTTTCAGTATGAGAACTTAATGTTAACAAACTGGAACATTCTTATCAATTCCAATTTCAAGGTTTAGCATAAGTTTCTCTCAGAATAATATGGGTAGCATTGAGTAAAATATATTATCTATTGATCTTGAGGTAGTGGAGGCTATAGAAGTGAAAGAATTTGCAAAGTCCTTAGGGCTAAGTTTTCCGTATGATGCATATGTAATTAGTAGGTCTTAGCATAGAGATTTTATATGAAATAGAGAAATAGCTTCCTAGACTTCTACTAAAAATACTGTAACAGAGAAATATTGTGCTGCCTGTTTCTAAAAGTGGTAATATTTGAAAGTAACAAAAGATATTTCAGATACTTGGAAAAAATGAGTATTAGCACAAATCTGTAGTTTTGCTGAACTTTAAAGTTTTTAGTCGTACATGGAAGATGAGATGTTTCTCTTTCTTGTTTTTTGTTTTTACTTTTCAAGTGTTTAAGAATTAAATGTTTTTATTTTTCCTTAGAATAAATCACTCCAATAATGCAATAGTGAAGCCTCCTGAAATGACACCACAGGCTGCTGCTAAGGAGCTGGAAGAAGTGATGAAGAGAGTAAGGGAAGCCCAGTCCTTCATATCTGCTGCTATTGAGCCAGGTAGGTATATTGTGTTCAGTAGCTAACAGATGCAATCTCTATGTACCTTGGCACACACTTTTAAGAGCATTTTCAGACACAGGAAGAGTATACTTAAAGGTATTCCGTATGTATTGGTAAAAAATAGGAGAATAATCAAAATTTTATTCATGCAACAAAGAAGTGGAATGAAGCTTTTTATTTCATGTGTTTTTTTCACATACATGTTCAGTTAATGTTTTCAAAAATAAAAATTTTTAGAAATCGATATTTTGACTCTTTTTAAGTTCAGAGTATGTGGAAACTTTTAAAAGAAAATGCTTTATATTTTTTTATTCTCCTCTAGCACACATGAGTGCCGTAGTTTAATGATCAACATGGTTCTGAAAGCAGTAATATTATGCTTTCCTTATCTGCAGCAGGTTAATTTTGTCTCTTTATCATGATGGCTCAAGACTGTATACAGCCTCATAGCAAATGGGATCAGAGAATGAATCTAGAATAAACCTTAACATATTTTAGAAGACTTGTTTTCATCCAGATTGTTTCCTTATTCCCTGTTGACACAGATGCAAAGTCAAAGAGGAAGGTGTTTGTGTGTTGAGAGGTTAGACAGACATTCCAATGCTGATTTATGCTGGCTTAAACTATTGCAAAACCATAGCATAAAAATTCTCAACTTATTAAACTTGCTGTTGAGATCTTAATTCTTTTCACCAGCAACTTTTTGCCATTCTTTGTACTAGCAAACCCAGATGTTGTCTTACGCATATTAGATGGGGTGGAGTCTTGAGGGTTTTTGGGGGAGAAGTGTTTTCTATTGCATTTTAGAGTTGGATTAAAAATAGCTCTAAGAGTCTCCTATAGTGTGAACCATTGTGAGATCACTATTAAGGTTTCTGTTGACTTCCTGGTTTTCAGATCAGACTTTTCACCATGTTCTGTTCATTCCTTCCTCCCATAAACAGTGTTTGAGGAATAAAATCTTTGTATTTGTACAGTGGTTGAAATATCTGAAAGTGTAGACTGTACTAATTATTATTTAAATTTTATGCTTGTTTTTAAAATTATGCCCTCTAAATTTACTCTATTCTTCTCAGGTTATTTTTAAAAAAATAATTAAAT